TTTTTCTGTAGTTTAGTGCATCCAAAAGATTTGTTTTTTGGGGGGGATTGTTTATTTRTTTTTTTAAATTAAATTGGCTTATTGTGTCTAGGTAACATGCTATTGCTTTTTTTCTATATTTGAAATGTTACCAGAAGGCTAAGTACTGCAATGCTGTATTGGAATCAGAGACACTGGGACCCGGAGTGTCAAGAAAATATATGAGTTCATTCTGATGTAAATAAGTGATTAAATGGAGAAGGACATATCTCCTTTCAGGAGAACTCCGAATAGCATATGTAGATATCCCCATCCATGACTCGGAGCTTAGTTCCCCTCCATGGCCCTATGGGTCACACTGAGTAACTTACCGAGGCTCCTGTGGATGTCCACTGTGTCATTGTTGCCTAGTCTAGAAATGGTGCTTCCACAAAAAGGATGCAGAATGAATCATGAGCCAGTTGCCACCAAGCCAACAGAATTCTTTACTTTTTGCCTTGGGCATTGGTACGTGCATCTTGAAGGCAGTGGAGGAACAATTGTGTGGTGGTTGAAGGAATCCTTCCCATTCCCTGAAGCCAAGCAAGTAAATACAGAAATGCAGGGGCAAAGACAGACCTTGGGAACTGATCCCCTTCAGTCAGCTAAGTAAAGGAAAAACACAAATCATAAGGTGCAGCAGGAATGGTAGCATAGAGCAGAGTGGTTGCAGGGGCTGCTGCTGCTGCTGCTGGCCATGTCCACGATTTAAGAACCACTGCCCCAAGACCCCAGCCTGTTTCCTGAGTGAAAGCAATGACTCCTCTCTCCTGAGCCCAAGTACTTGTTCAAGCCTGATCCAAGAACCAGCTGCTCCGACGGAAGCATAGAGTCCTACCCAACAAGGAATGGATCACATCCACAGAGCTCTCGCCAGGCGGCTCCTCCTGTTGCCCTCTCGCCAGAGCACCTAGTGTAAACATAGCACTTGCGTTTCTATTTTCTTGGGCAAGATGCTCAAGGTGATTGGTGTCCATCTCTGGACAACTTGTCTGTCATCTGCAYACATTCGGTAGGATGTCACATGTGCCACTAGGAGGAGACCCGTACAGCTCTTCCCTGAGGTCCAGTGTGGAGGCAAACAGTGTTTTCTGTGGCGGAGGGGTGACTCATTCTTATTTCCTACCCCGGAAATAAGAACAGGACTCTCAGGACTGTTGGGTGGAAGGTAGGGATCGGACCACTGACCTCCTTGGCTGGATCCTCTGGAGTCTCTTGGGGCCTTTGATTACGTGACTTCTGGTTCTCATGGTGGAAGAGTCAGTGGTCTCTCTCAAAATTGGCTTTGTTTGTGGCATCATGGGTGAGAATTGGAGCCAAATTAGTCCCCTTATATCTATACATCATTTCCTCTGCCCCACATAGGAGTTTAAATATGTAGGTTCATCCAGGTTGCAGGAATTATTTGTTAGCAACTGAGGGCAGGGATTTTCACTAGTGGATGCTCCCCAGTGCCTTGCACATAGGTATTCAATAAATATTTGTGCTTAAGTAAATCTTGAAAAAGTGTTTTTTTTTTTTTTACTCTATTGTATAAACAGAATTTCTAGAAATTTTACTTCTAAGTCATCATTTCTTCAGCCCAAATCACACCCTGCATACTTCAGAGTACATACCCTTTTCTTTCCATCTAACTGAGGAGCCCAGCCAGGCCGCACTCAGAGGAGGGAGGTGTGTCAAAGTCTCTGGTTCTCAGCACGGAGAAGAGGCCTGCACTCTCAGGGGTGTTGGCTCAGTCACTTCCCTCTGAGATCCGCGTCTTATTGTAATTATCACTCTCTTCTGCTTTTGGAATTGAGGCTCAGAGATGCTGTTATGCTGATGACAGTTTTGTTGAGAGGCACATAATTGCTTTTGAGCATCAAGTGCTGCTCAAAGGCGCTTACTGTGTGAGGTGCTGCCTGCACAGCATGGGGGGGTGGGTGCAGCTGGGAAGGAAGGCCAGTGAACTCTGTGGCAGTCCTGGAGCCATTGTTGTGACTACTGGAGTAGTAGGCGGTGCCGGCCTGCCTGGGTAATGTCCAGGGCTTATTTCTGCAGTGTCTGCCCAGTGGGAGAATGGAGGGACCACTCACAGTGCACTGCAGCTCTGCCCAAACAAAGCCGCCTGCCTGGGGAAGGCAGCTGGGGAGAGCCTTCCGCCCTGGGCCTGCCATGGCGGCTCTGCTTCACTGTGCTCTGAAATGAGCAGTAGGCACCAGGAACTATGGAGTAGCTACAAGATCTCAGGCCTGCAGGAGACGCAGCCGGTTGGTGGCTGTTGAGACGCAGAGTTAGTCCAGGCTGTTTCGGCCTGACAGAGGTTTCTCGGTCCCCTCTGAATGGAGGTCTGACGTCACTCTGAATAAGCTAGAGAGTTCACCTGGGCTGCTTGAAGGGGACCATCACACTGCTTGGAATTGAGCTCTARCTGGGGAGTGAGTTTCCAGTGTTCAGCTGGCTTTAGGCGAAGAAGGCTTCTCCTGTGAGGTTTTCGGATTCCTGGTGTTTTCCACTAGTGGCCACGTAGGGGCACCCCTTCCTCCACAAAAAGTCTTAACTGGGCTTCTCCAGAAATCTTCACCATGACTGATTTTAGGACTGTCAGCAAGAGTCTCTACAAAAGAGTTCAATGTAGATAAACTCCCTACTTTCATATTGCCCAGTTTTACTTGGCCAATGGCCAGGAAGAAATCACCACTCCAGGTGCTGGACAGCCCCTCACTAGGTTTTCACAAATGTATCTAGTAGAGTAGTTTGTAGAAATGTGTAAATAAGCCTCTGGCCTTGAGCTGGGGCTTCACAGAGATGACTACATTTCTAAGATAAGAGAAGTTACCAACTGGGCTCCCTGGTAACAGCTGGCAGAGGGAGGAAAGAAAGGGGGGAAGCCGCTCTCCCTTTCAGGTGCTGTCCTTGAAGGGTTAACTTGCCCAGAACAGTGAAAGAAAAAGCTGCTTTATGTGAACTTCTGCAGACTCTGAACTTCTGAGCCCCTCCCCTTACATGCTGGTTATAAAATTCTGAAACTACCTGAACCCATGAACTTGGGGTTCAGGGGATTGATTGATTACAGCAGAAGCTGTACCCTCTGAACCTGGCTGCAGCCAAATAAAACTGTTTCCTGCTGTCTTTGGTGCCTTGCCTTGTCTGTCCCTACAACAGTCACAGGGTAAAAATGGCCACAGGCAGATGACTACAGGAAAAATTTATTCCAAGTTGTTAACATGCTGTTTGCCTGTATTTAACATTGTGTGTGAAAATGGAACAAAGATGTTATTTTGACTTTAAAAGATGATTTTTCTTTCAGTATTGTTCCTGGAGAAATAAGGATTCTTGAAAACAGTACCTTGTTTATGTGGCTTGTGATATAAAATTGATTTGCTGTTAAGTCAGTGCTGGGAATTGCCTGCAGAAAGGGTATTTCCTATGTGTTTACCTAGCTGAGCCTCCTGGAAAGAGAGTACCTTTGTCCCCTAGGTGGGACTAAGTGCCTGTGCCCCTTCCCTCTTAAAAACTCTTCATTCCTGTTGTCATGTGAAGGTTAAACTGGGTCCTAGAGACACACAGGTGAGCTACCCTCTCATGCCTCACTTACCTCAGGAGATGGTTTAGAGTCTGAGCCCCTGAGGGCAAACAAGGGAGGGCTGCAGGAGGCTCCTGCAAGGGGTGGCCCTGCCCTTCCTTCTCATTCACATGCAGTGGTCACTTTGCCCTCTGGTCTTGGTGTCTGTGGCCTGGATGGTGAGGAACACTGACCCAGGTGGCTCCTTCCTTCACTCAGAGGGCAGGTCTTGAAAGTAGCTGTGCCAGTAGCAGCATGAGAAGCTGTCATCACAGCTCTTCAGTTGCTAAAGATGATGGTGGCTAGCCCGCTGAACCTGGGAGGTGGCGTGCTCTGAGTTCTCAAGCAGTTCTCTGCTGGCCCTTTCCAGAGCGGAGGAAGCTGAGGCACCAGAAGTTTTGTTTGAGTTGTGCAGTTATCATAAGGCAGAGCCAGGGTTCTGGGCAGCTGTGCCCTGTTTAGTTTGTGCCCACTTCTCCAACCCTGTGCTCTCCCTGTCATTGTCAGCCACCAGACACCCTGGTCCTCTAGTGACGTACCTCAGGGCCTTTGCATTTGTCCCACTTCTGGTCCATTCCAGTGTTACTTTCCTGACTGACTGAAGTTCTGCCCCCACCTGTTGCTCTTTATCGCATCTTCCTGCTTCCCTGCTTTTCCCAGTCTGCTTATCAGAGCAGGAGGTGGCCGCCTCGGTCTGTTCACTGACAAGGTGGATGTGTGCTTGTGTGTGCATGAACATGTGGGCGAAGATGTGTGAAGATGCAGGTGCGTGTGTTCTGGTCTTGGCTCATGGCATGGAACTTCAGCTCATCTCTTGAGTTGTAGTCCAAGCTCCAACAGTGATGTCTTCGTTTTTCTCAAGTGGAGGTGAAGTACTTGTGTGTGTTTGACAGAAATATGTGTTAAAAGAAACATGTAAGAATCCTAGGTAGTGAATGATACAGTCTCTAGAATGTAGCATAAAAGCTATAGCCTGGCTCGGGAAACGTTTTTTTAGTTTGTTGTAAAAACTCATTGCTTGGACAAGGCAGATAGTACTGTTTTCTGGTATTGATAGCTCCTCCTCTCCTGCACCACCACTTCTCCACTAGTGCTTGTTAAATGATAGTCACTTGGCATGTTCACCCCAGGGCATGCTGTCAGATCCCTTCAAGGTAGTTGTTGGGAATTTGACAGAGATGGAGTGACAGAAAACCAAAAGCAGGATCTTTGACACAAAGGGATTTTCTGTGTTTTTGGCTGGGAACTTCAGCCTGCCATAGATGTCAGTCTTCGGTTGGGGTCATCTCTGTACTGGGGACCTGGCCTGAACAGTGATCCCTGATTGGGAGAGTTACTGATGGCCTTTTGGATGCCAGTCCTGCAAGCTGGCACAGACCATTGGTCAAGTACTTTTCTTCCAGAACACAACCTCACTCCTCCTCCTGTCCTGTCCTAGATAACCAGTTCAGGATGTCCATCCTGGAGCGACTGGAGCAGATGGAAAGGAGGATGGCGGAGATGACGGGCTCCCAGCAGCACAAACAGGCCAGCGGAGGAGGCAGCAGCGGAGGTGGCAACGGGAGCGGGAGTGCAGGGAGTCCAGCTCAGGTAGGAACCTGTACTGTCCATCTCCCACTCGGTTAGTGTCTTGTTGACACGGGAGCCAATCCCGGCCCCTCCCCTGCACAGATGGCATTCTGGTACTGAACTCCTGAGTGTTATGAGGGTAGCCTTAGAGCTGAGGGGCTTCTCACTTGCTTCCTCCCTAATCTTCAGATTGTTTTTACTGGTCTCAGAATTCACTACTGGCCCCTGGCAGCAGGATTGAGGGCATCAGTTCAGAAGGAGGCTGGTTGGTGACTCTGATCTGCTTGGGCTCAAAATCAGTCTCTGTCTTAAAGATGAGCCTAAAAGATAATTCAGTAATTCATAAGCTTCAAGAATACCATGTGGAAAGGGCCCAGGACATTCTCTGGAATCATTGTTCAGCATGCAGTAACATTGTACGTGAGAGTGTCTTTCACGTCATCTTTTCAACAGTTGCATGAGGAGCGTACCAAGTGCAGGGAAATTACCAAATATTAGTTTGGTTCTCTTGGTCTTGAAGCTTTGTATATGAGTCACTTAGGAACTTCAATTCTGGGTTGTCTCCTAGGCAGAAACTTTCCCAAAAGACCTCATGACGAAGTTAAAAGCCCTGGTAGTGTTTCTTCCCTTCACTATTCAGTTGCTGCCTAAAGATCTCAAATACCCCCCCCCCTCTTGCTCTTCAAGATGAATGAGGATTTCTTTTGCAGAATTCTCACTTTTAAGTGAATATTTTCCACTTTGCAATCCTTATGAATATCAAGTATTTGTGATATTTTTAATAACAGATGAATGAAAAGCATAGTATTCCATACCCAAAACTCTTCTTTTAAATTTTCTTCTAATTTCTCCTCTGTCGTCACAAAAAGTGGAAAGAAGAGTCTTGGCACATTGTAAACTCTTGTGAAGGCCAAGATAGCTCCTTTTTCCCTGAATTACTAAGTGTTATAAAGAAAGCGGTTGTTGTTTAAGGTACTTCATGGCTGAAATGAGAATTTCCTATAGAACGTTTTCCTTTCACCCACACAGGATGCATAAGGGGGATGGCATATCGAATTTTAAAGCCCATGCATTCAGGCGCTGGCCTGTAACCTGACCTCATGTTAACTGCCATTGAATACTGTCATCAGCTTGCATTGGTATCAATAATATTTTTGCCGTATATGATAGAGACAGAGCTGTTTTTGTTTAATTTAAGAAAATCCTTGCTCTTCCTTCATTGGCTGGTGATTCGGCGTTTTGGGTGTGAGAGAGTGGTATATGCAGAGCCGCTCTGCCTGGCCTTCTTCAGCATGGTCAAGTGACAGTGTTGGGATTGCCCAGGGTACTCCTTCGGGACGTCTTCACAGCTCTGACGGGGATGACATTGCATGCAGCATTTGCCTTTTTATTTTTGGAGGCATTTTTTTCCACATTTAAAAATAAAGAGCAATGTTGAACAACAGTATCTCTGTTCTAATTGGATTCAAAGGAGTTCATTGCCAGAAAAAAATACTTTAAAAATAACACGAGAGATGCAAATGAGGCTGAAAGTGCCATTTATTTGGGAGAGTGTTAAACATAAAACCACTGCCACCGGGACTCAGATGAGCTGTTGAGGTTACTGACGTTGGTTTTGTTTTTCTTCCTTTACAACTGATTCCTGGGAAGAAGACCACGTGGTTCACTTTAGTGCATTTCTCCTCCTTGTGTGCCTTTATTGTTTCTAACAACACTTAAACTCCAGGACCTCTCATGCTTTTCCAGGATGCTATTTTATTTTATTTTATTTTTAAATTTTTTTTATTAGTTGCTCAAAACATTACAATGATCTTGACATATCATACATTTGATTTCAAGTGGGGTATGAATTCTTTTTTTCCCACATGTACAGATTGCAGTATCACATTGGTTTTATAGCCACATTTATATATACAGCCATATTAGTGTCTGTTGTATTCTGCTACCCTTCCTATTCTCCCCTCCCCTCCCTTCCCCTCCCATCACCTCTCTCTACCCACTCTATGACACTTTTCTCTCTGTTTTTCTTCCTCACACCATCTTATATGTAATTTTGCATAACAATGGGGGTCTCCTTCCATCTTCCCCGCGATTCCCCTTCTCTCTCCCATTCCCATGCATCTCTCATCCCTATTTAATGGTAATCTTCTTCTCATGCTCTTCCTCCCTGCTCTGTTTTGAGTTGCCCCCCTTATATCAAAGAAGACATTCGGCACTTGCTCCTTAGGGATTGGCTAGATTCACTCTGCTTTAATGCCATCCATTTCCCTGCAAATGCCATGATTTTGTTATTTTTTAGTGCTGAGTAATATTCCATTGTGTATAAATTCCACATTTTTTTTTTATCCATTCATCTATTGAAGGGCATCTGGGTTGGTTCCACAGTCTAGCTATTGTGAATTGTGCTGCTATGAACATTGATGTAGCTGTGTCCCAGGATGCTCTTTTAAAAAGTAGAAATTGTTATCAGATATTTTTAAGTGTTTATTTAGGGGAAAATACCCACAACTAGGTAACTTGACTTTCAGAAGAAGTCAGGGAGGGAACTATAGGGAAGCTAGAGCCTTTTTCTTTTTTTTTCTTTTTCTTTTTTTTTTTTTTTTAGCAGCATACATTTTCCCCAAGATGGTCAGCATGGAGTTCAGAGTTGGAGTCCTGGCTGTGGTAGATGCTGGTTTTACCAGTGATGGAACTTAACCTAGTGCTCTGACTTTGGAGGCGTGCTGCCCATTCTGTTCTCTGTCCCATCCTGTTCCATTTGTCTGTTTTCCGTTTCTAGTTGCTAATCACAAAGCATTTGCTTCTCCTGTGTCAAAATTTGGATATGGTAAAGTGGCTGTGGTCCTCCTATTGTGATGTGTACTTGTCTATGACAGTGTACTTCTGGGACGGGGACCTTGGGGAGCTGCTTCGAGAGTCGTGTGGTTGTTGTGTGTGAGAAGATGATGAGCCGGGCCTGCTGGGCCAAGTCCAAGCATCTGATCCATTCCAAGACGTTCCGCGGAATGACCCTCTTGCACCTGGCTGCTGCCCAAGGCTACGCCACCCTGATCCAGACGCTCATCAAGTGGCGGTAAGCTGGGGTGCAAATGACAAGTCATCTTCACCTACCAGCACACAGCTGCTAGAGGGATTCCACCAATGGGGAGACAGCAGTGCCACTCARCTTTCTAGGCTGGGAGCAAAAGGCTTTCTTGGAGGACAGTTTCCAAGACACRTTATGGATTGTGCCCAAGAATTCCCGGGTGAGGTACTAACTAAATGCTGTATTTTACATTTCCTGTGGGCTCCTAGCCAGATGGAGAATCCAAGCTACCTCAGAAATCCCACTCTATTTTTTCACATTAGGGAGATTAGATGCCTAGTTTAGTTTCATCTTGTGGGGTTTCATAATACTCTAATATTCCTTTTAACATGGATTAATCGTGTAATAACTTCTGGTGCCGTCCCTTCCAGCACGAAGCATGCAGATAGCATTGATTTGGAACTGGAAGTCGACCCCTTGAATGTGGACCATTTCTCCTGTACTCCTCTGGTAAGGAATAGGTTTATTTATCCCCCTAACCATTTTCTCAGACCGGTGTAGGGACTCTTTTGGGATCTGAGAACAACACGTAAAAGATGAGTTGTTATGTTACAGTTTTCTTAGGGTGAATTTAACTGTTTACTGAACTGTGAGTGCCCAGTGTCATCCCTGGGTGATACAGGGCATTTATCAGAGGTGCTTTGGAATGGTAACATTGAATGGCCCTACCAAGGTTGCCAGTAAGGACCAGTTTGTGGGTTGGCAGCCATAGCAAGAGTACAGTAGAGCTTCAGACTCTTACTGAGAATGCTTTCTCTGCCCTTCTGTCTTAGATGTGGGCATGTGCCCTAGGGCACTTGGAAGCTGCTGTCGTGCTGTACAAGTGGGACCGTCGGGCCATCTCCATTCCAGACTCTCTGGGAAGACTGCCTTTGGGTATTGCTAGATCAAGAGGTCACGTGAAACTAGCAGAGTGTCTGGAGCACCTGCAGAGGGACGAGCAGGCGCAGCTGGGACAGACCCCCAGGATCCATTGTCCTCCAAGTGAAGAGCCAAGTACGGATAGCTGGATGGCCCAGTGGCACAGTGAGGCCATGAGCTCTCCAGAAATATCCAAAGGAGTCACTGTTATTGCAAGTACCAACCCAGGTAAAGCTTTAGAGTTTCTGTATCTCAGAGTTTGACAGCTCTTCCATTTGCTTTCATGCCACTGCCCTCAGAAAAGTTTATAGGAGATTCACATATTTTTAAGGGTTTTTTTTTAATGTTTTTGGTATTCCTTTAAAAATGCTTAGTGACCCCCCCCATATGGAAAATAACAGAAATTCTGTGTTCATGCAAAAGTACACCTTTTTGAAGGAGAACTTTCTGAGTACTGTGTGTGCTGCTGGGGAATATTTAAGCCTTAGGGATGTGTCTTGAGCTCCAGCTTTGCACTTTGTCTCTCAGGCATAGAGAAAGTGTTAATTCTTGAGGATTCCTACTTTTATCGCCTGTCCTGACTGTCCTTTCTACTGTACTTTTCAGAGCTGAGAAGACCTCGGTCTGAACCCTCTAATTACTACAGCAGTGAGAGCCACAAAGATTATCCGGCTCCCAAAAAGCATAAATTGAACCCTGAGTACTTCCAGGCAAGGCAGGAGAAGCTGCTTTCCACTGCACTGAGTCTGGAACAGCCAAATATCAGGAAGCAGAGCCCTAGTTCTAAGCAGTCTGTCCCCGAGACAATCAGCCCCAGTGAAGGAGTGAGGGACTACAGCCGGGAACTCTCCCCTCCCACTCCAGAGACTGCAGCATTCCAAGCCTCTGGATCTCAGCCTGTAGTAAAGTGGAGTTCCAAAGATCTTTACATTGGTGTGTCTACAGTACAGGTGACTGGAAATCCGAAGGGGACCAGTGTAGGAAAGGACACGGCACCTTCACAGGTGCGTCCACGGGAACCAATGAGTGTCCTGATGATGGCTAACAGAGAGGTGGTGAATACAGAGATGGGGTCCTACCGTGATAGTGCAGAAAACGAGGAATGCTCACAGCCCATGGATGACATTCAGGTGAGCTCTGCTCAGGTAAGCTGCAGAGGCCACAACCTAGAGTCGCTGTGGTCTTTAGGTTCATTTCCAAGGGTCATGTAATTTTCTCCCTGGKGGAGGGGTAGAAGTCTGGTCTTAGCTGGGTGTGGTAGCACATKCCTGTAATCCCAGCAGTGCTCCAGAGGCTGAGGCAGGAAGGTCACAAGTTCAAGGGCAGCCTCAACAAATTAGTGAGGTCCTAAGAAATTTAGCAAGACTCTGTCTCAAATGAAAAATTTAAAAAGGGCTGGGGATGTGGCTCAGTGGTTAAGCACCCCTGGGTTCAATTTCTGGTACCAAAAAAAAAAAAAAGAAGAAGAAGAAAAAGTCTGGCTTTATGCATGAGAGCTTTGAAGTATCTTCTTTCCTGGGCTTTATGCATGAGAGCTTTGAAGTATCTTCTTTCCTGGGCTTTTGTTTTCCTTCAGTGAAACCAGGCACTGTGCAGAGGGCCTGAACATCAGGGCCCAGGTCTCAGCAAAGCCTTTCCTCTTGGCACCAGCTCCTCGGAATTCACTGTGACCCTACAGTATGTCGCCTGCTTCCTCCTTGCATCCAGGATGACAGGCTTCACTGTTTTAAGGCCATAAAAATAGCTAGCTGGGAAGCCTGCGCATACAATTTGTATTATCAAAGTGACTTTGAATGGCATAGCCATTATCTAGCTATTATATAGGGCATGAGGCACTCACGAAATGCAGTAAAACATCTCTAAAGCTGATAATGGACTGCCCTTATAATGTGGAGAACACAGAATCCTCTTAAGGCATTAAACTCATTACAGATTAAAAGAATATGTACTGAAGTAAACTTGACAGTAGGCTATTAGCAAATTCCATTAACTAAAATATGTAAGGGCAGGGTTGGGAAAGAATGTAGTTCAGTGGTAGAGAACTTGCCCAGGTTGTGCAAGACCCTGGGTTCAATCCCTGGTACTACTAAATAAATAAACAAAATTACAGAGGAGGTTGAAAGGAAACAGGAGCACATATGATAGAATTCCTCTCTTTCCAACTTCCCATTGATCCAACCCAAAACAAATACAAAAGGAGAAAACAGCCTGCTAGGAGTTCAGCAGGGAACCCGTGCCTGTGGAAGTGGTGGAGCCGGAGGGCCATGTAGAAGCTCCTCTGTCCCGGCCAGCATACCTAGCAGAGGTCTGAGTGCTGAGCCGCTCCCAATGACTGTCCTCTGCCAGTCAGCACAGGAGGAGAAGCAGGCATGCTTACCAAGCTCCTGTTCTTGGTAGACAGAAGGCCCACTACTAATCTCTAACCCTGCAGTCTTGGGGAAGCTGCCAAATTAAATAATGTTTTAGACAAAGAGCTGGCAAACTGCTTCTGTAAGGGCCAGATAATGAATAATGTGGGCTTCGTGGACCATAGAAACTTTGTCTTAACTATTTAATCTGCTGTATCGCAGGAGCACCCATATACAGTAGTAAATGAGTGTGTATGGCCACCTTCCAGGAAAACTTTATTTACACAGGTAGCTGGCTGGATTCAGCCTGGTATAGTTGGCCAAATCCTGTTTTAGACAGTTCCTGTCGGAAGCCATTCCAGATGTCAGTACTACGCTATCCAGAGCTGTGTTTAGATATAAATGTAGCAGTTTGAAAGTTGGTGGCTCGGAGGAGGGAGACTGAGTCGAGCATGCAGTGCCATCCAGCAGAGCTTTCTGCCCTGGTGAAATGTGCCGTAGGCGCCACACGCTGGCAGCCCCTTGCCATGGGAGGCACTGAGCCCTTGAAGTAAGGCGGTGAAATTCAGTAGCTGGACTTCTCATTCTGCTTAAGTTTAATTCAAGTTAAAATAGCTGTTGGATGGCACAGCTTTCTAGCGGCTAGCCTTCACGGAAACAGAGTTGATATAGAAAATAGAAAATAACCTTTAAAAAATTTCTTGGGATTTTTACCAAGTCTTGAGAGAATACTGTTGTGCTAAATGAAGAGCACATATCTGTGAAGAAATCAGCAATCTAAAAAAGTATATTGCCAAATGCAAAAATAACAATTAAAAATAATAAAACAATTTCAGAAACAGCATGACAAGAGTTCTGAAGGAATGATCAATCAAATCAGTGGCATCAGTATGTCCGTACTTGTTGTTGATTGTGTGGTTGTATGTAGAGGGCATTTCTAGGAAGGGATTCTTTTCGTGGGAGAGGAATAATTTTTAAACAATTTAGAACTAATTCCAAGTTATTTTAACAGACCTAGGGAGGTGGGGAAATAAAGACAAAGTTCATTAAGGCAGCCCAATGTTCAGGGAGTGCTGTAGACTTCCTCCCACTGGTGACACGGATAGATAAGCATAGACTGACATACGCTTGTTAAAAATGTCAAGCTAATAGGGACTGTGAAAAATAGGCTACTGAACATCCAAGTTATTAAAGAGAAAAAGAATGGCTCATTTAGGGAAAGTTTAAGGATGGTAACACAGGAAAAACCAGCAGTAAGAAATAATAAACAGGAAAGAATATTGTAAGAATGTTTCAAATGTGATTCATCCACACTTGGGTAAATGATGAGTCCATTAAAAGGCAGATTCTTGCTTTTGGTTAAAAAGAAAAGCATATGCTGCTTGTAAGAGACCAACTAAAATGAAAAGAAGCAGAAAGAATGGAAATGAAGTGAATGTGATTCATCTCACAGATGAATGAGTATAAAAAGAAAAGGGAACAGCTGGGGAGGGAGCTGAGTGGTAGAGCGCGCGCTTAGCATATGTGAGGCCCTGGGCTCCATCCCCAGCATGAAGAGGGAAAAAAAGATAAAGGTACAATGCAAGGCAAGTAGTGTACTTATGTACAACTTTTCCAGAATATCTTGACTGTTATGAACCGTTGTGTTCTTAGCAGCATAACCTCTAAGTACCACAGCAAGAACTAGTACACATGGGGCTGGGGCTAGGGCCGAGCAGCAGCACACTTGCCTGGCATGTGTGAGGCACTGAGTCTGATTCTCAGCACCACATATAAATAAACAAAAGTTTATCAACAACTAAAAAATATATTTAAAAACATTTTTTAAAAAATAACTAGTAAATACAAAAAAAGTGGAACTGTGGTCATGGTGTGACCCTGCTGCACCACCTCATAGCTTGTCAGATCACGTGGGTGTGAAAAGGATATGAAACCTTTGAATAGCACAGTTAGGAAGCTCGATTATTTTATATATATGATAGAATTTTATAGATGTGTAATTGATACACATAGTAAATATTTAATTGTTCTTTTCAAATATTGAAGAAATTTTATTAAAATTTCTCATTCTGGGACACAAAGAGAATTTGAATAAAAACTCAAAGCTGGGCTGGGGCTGTGGCTCAGTGGTAGAGTGCTCGCCTAGCATATAGGAGGTAGTGGGTTCAATCCTCAGCACCACATACAAATAAATCAATAAATAAAGGTATTTAAAAAATACCTCAAAGCTTCGCGTTTGAAGACTAACTTCTCTGACCACAATGCAAGAAATTTACAGTGCCGTTATTTAGATCTAGTTGCTAAGAGTATTATTTGTTTTAAAGTTGTTTAAATTTCATTGCCTTTTGGAGCCATCACAGTAAAAAATCAGCTACTTGGTGTCTCAGAGTCTTTCCTCACTGTCATATTAAGGGGCTATACCGCGGTACATATGCACCATGTGGAGAAGGAAGTGGGGTGAATGTACTAATAACCTTCAGGCTTCAGAAATTGCCTTTTATTATTGATAAAAATTTGAGTATGTGGGCTGGGCTTGTAGCTCAGTGGCAGAACACTTGCCTAGCATGTGTGAGGTACTGTGTTAGATCCTTGGCACTGCATAAAAAAAATAAATGAATAAATTTTAAAAATAAATAAATAAAACTGTCTGCAGTGACTCATGCCTGTCTCCCAGCTACTTGGAGGGAAGAGATCAGTGGCTTGAGGCCGTGAGTTCAAGGTCAGCCTGGGCAACCTTGGAAGGCCCTTTCTCATCCAAAACAAAACAAGAAAACAGAAATAAGAGTCTGAGCACTTTCACAGACAAGGAGTAGAGGCAGGACTTCCTGTTATTTGAGTCACAAACCAAGAGGGCCAATCTAGAAGAAGAAAAATGGGATTTTTTTTCCTTTTTATGTCTATTACACAAAGTAATTCTTGTTCTTTGAGAAAATTTGGAAAATCATTCTAAGTCAGCATCTCTAACAGCTCTGGAAAGGAGGGCTGTGCAGCTGTCCCTATACTCCTTTCCTGCAGCACTTCCTCAGCCCTCCTCTGCAGTTAGTGTCTGCTCTACTTGACCCTGAGCAACCACTGATCTGGCTGCATCTCCAAAATTTGGCTTTTTCTAGAAGTTTCTCCTGGATAGAATTGTTCAATATGTAGTCCTCTGTGCCTGGTTCTTGCCATTAAGCGCCATGTCCTTGAGGTGCACTGGTGTTGCAAGACAAGCATTTTGTCCCTGTGTAGAGCTCCTTCCAGAACATTTTCAGGTGACTTAATACCCTGAACTGCTGTATTCCAATCACCACTTTTGAGAGATATGTCAGGAAACTTTAAAAAATGAGGCTATAGTTCTGATCCTGATTTAAAAAAAAAAAAAATTTCATCCAGATGAGCTTTGAGGATTCTTTAGTATGTCTATTAAAATTAATATGTTTTGGGTACAAGTACTAGCAACCTAACTACATTGGTTTAATTTTAAAAAAGCCTTTTTTCGCATGACCAAAGGTCCAGCCTGGCAGGCATGAGGCCCTGGGTTAGATTCCCAACATTGGAAAAAAAAAAAAATATCTGGAAGCCCAGTTGCTCAGTGTTGTTGGTCTTGAGAGACCCACAGGTTTTTTGTCTTTCATTTTCCCACATACCTGTTTCTATGACTGTTGTGTTCCTCACGACTAAAACACTCAGGGTCACTCCAGGTGAACTGGGCTGCACGAAATAATCACACAAGAGACAGAGATACCTTTTCCTTTGGATCCTGTGATGGCTCCTCTGACCTTAGGGAGAGGAAGGAGAGAGCCATTGGGGAGCCATTGGGGAGAAGCCATTCAGATGAAGCAAGGGGTCAGGTTTCTGGAGGTTGAGTATAGCTTGTCTGCTCTCAGCAGGTTGACTGACAGCTAGGAAGGCCATGCCCAAAGGCAGAGCAAGAGAAGGGGACACACAAAGGGAGTTTCCTTGGTACATTCTATCCCAATCAGGGTAAAGGGGTAGGATTATAAAAGAATAGGTGAGTGTAGCTCAACCTCAGGGGTATGCCTACTCAGAAGACTGGCCTTGCTATCTGAGTGGGGGGAAAGACCAAGTCACAAGTCATGGCACTACCATACAAGACTATAGTGGTCGTTCAGATCCCTGTGGTACATCAAGACTAGAAGGCGTGGTAACTCAATGTGGCTCCCCACATATGACTTTCCTTTTCATGCCTGATGCTTTAATGGGTGTAGCCATGCAGGTTGGTGGTCTGTATTCAAGGCAGGAGGAAGGGAGGAAAGGACAGACATCTGCATGGTCTCACCACAGGAAGGTGAGAGATGAGACTATGTTGGCAGCCGGTCATCTAGGGTTTGGCACCTTGCTGTGCTCTACACGATCAGGCCTCCCCAGGCAAGGCAGGGGGGAGTTGAATGCTGCTTAGGCAACCACTAGTGTGACCACATTAAGATGGGTGTGCTCACCTGCCCAGCCATGGYACCATTGATTGCTGACCCAGTTGAGAGTGGAGAATAGGCCTGAGCCAGACATTCTCCAAGATGTACCCAAAGGTTTTTGGCCAAACTGTGATTTAGAGATAACAGGTCTCAGGACCTCAGTGTATTAGAATAAAATTGTGGAATAAGCCTTAACTGCATTAAGGTGGAAATCTGTCCACCTGCCCTTTTTAGTCTGCTTTCCAAAGTAGGGGGTGSAGGGAGACCTGGATACCTTTCAAGGTTCCTTTCTCACCTGCGTGTTCTGTGCCCTTCTAATTACAGGTGAACATGATGACCTTGGCAGAACACATCATTGAGGCCACTCCCGACCGGATCAAGCAGGAGAACTTTGTGCCCATGGAGTCCTCAGCATTGGAAAGAACAGATCCTACCACCATTAGCAGTACGATGAACTGGCTGGCCAGTTACCTGGCTGATGCTGATCGTCTGCCAAGTGCTGCCCAGATCAGGTCAGGAATGTTCTGGGGTCACTGCCCAGCATGAACTGGATTTTGCTGGAGGCAGGGAAGGCTAAGTGATAGGTTGAATGCTGTGGTGTAGCATGAGACTGTACCAGGCGGGAGAAGGGGTCAGGATGTGTTCCACCGCCACTCTCGAGGTCCGACTCTGTCCTCATTGCTTCCATTTGTTCCTCCCCGGACTAGAGTATACTTGGTGGGGTTAGTATTTACCATAGTACTAAGGTCATTTTCAGGTACTGAATGTGTCCGGCAACTCACCTGAGAGGAGGGGGGCCCATCTCGAGTGGCCCACAGTGGCTCCAGGGGAAGTCGTCTTGTCTCATTGATTCACAGCTGACCAATTATGCCAGTCACTCTTCAACTGCCTCTCTTTTCCTCCTCTTGTTTCAGAAGTGCATATAATGAGCCTCTGACCCCTTCTTCTAATACCAGCTTGAGCCCTGAAGGCTCTCCCGTCAGTGAAATGGCTTTTGAGAAACCTACCCTTCCCTCAGCGGCAGACTGGTCAGAATTCCTGAGTGCGTCCACCAGTGAGAAGGTAGAGAATGAATTTGCTCAGCTCACCCTGTCTGATCATGAACAGAGAGAACTCTATGAAGCTGCCAGGCTTGTCCAGACAGCTTTCCGGAAATACAAGGTAAAATAGAAAGTTCTTGATGTTGTCTTGTTCTTAAGATCAGGGAGCAGGGATGAGACTCATCTACTTACTCTGAGATACCTCCCAGTTCCTTTATCTCTGGGCTTATAGCATTTTTACAGAAAGTTATTAATTATATCACATTAGATTATTAATGATTTTCAGGAGCTTTAGTGAAGTAGAACCAGTAGTGGACAGCTGTCACCAACTCCACTATTGTTGATATTTTGTTTAATACAAAGCGAGTTGATACCTTCATTACAAAGAATTTATGACCTAAAGCAGGGATTTTTTCAGCCAGAGGCCTGGGGGCTGACTTGAGGCAGCCCATGAATTCCTAAAATTACATGGTGAGGCTTCTGTTTATGTGGTTTTGGTGGTGAGAGGATCTACAGCCTTCTGCAGATTCTTAAAGGATCTTGGATGCTCCCACCCCCACAAAGGTGTTAAAAGCCATTAATCATTGAACTAAAAGTGGCCAGGCTTATCTTAGGAAGACTGTTGAGATCTGATAAGAAAATAGTATGATATCTAATGTGTTATATACTTTTAAAATGAATAACTTTTAGGCCTCCTAATGTCCAGGTATCATGGTTTACTCTATAAATTTATTTTTGTTTATTTATATTTATAATCAATGATCAGTGTATTGTTCTGGTAAACTGGGTCTCCGGTCTGAGAGAGTGGCATTACATGATTGCATAGTTTTTAGAAAGTCTACAGTTCTTACCATTAGGCCATTAATGATTTCCCCCTCATATTACTTTAAGGGTCGACCCTTGCGGGAACAGCAGGAAGTGGCCGCTGCCGTCATTCAGCGTTGTTACAGAAAGTACAAACAGGTAAACCTCAGTCTGTGTCACAGAAGGAGGAGGCCCTCCCTGCAGCCCCTACCTCTGAGGACCTGGTGTGCAGTTTGGATAGTGAGCACCACATAGAAGTGATTTGCCTTGATTAAAAACCAGAGGACCACCACATAGAAGTGATTTGCCTTGATTAAAAACCAGAGGACCAGGAAATGAAACAAAGCCATCTGCAGTTCAGCTTGTGCCACAAAATAACTTGTGTGCAGAATCTGGGCCTTCAGCTCCCTGAGATAAATACAAGGAATTACTTGTGTTTGAAGTGAGGACCGATGTTCCAGTAATTTCATAGACTTAATAACTGAGGAACTCTGGAGAGTTTGACATGGCTCTTGGAGGAGGTCAGTGCTGGCCATTCCTTGGACATTGAATTATATAGGTCGTATAGTCTTCTGCCCTTTTCCATTCAGCTGCTGCTTATCCATTTTAAAATGAAGAATTGTAAAAATCTTTGAGAATCCTAAGAAGCTCGGAGCATCTCAGGCCAATTTCTCCTTTAGTTGGCAAGTGCAGGAAGGACAGAGCAGGACCTTTCTATGCAGGGTTACCATTTCCAAACAGCCTGTGGGGTTGGTGACTACTGCCAGATAAGAAAGGTGCCTGTTGTTCCTGGAGCACCTGTGTGTGCGGGGCCTCAGGCCCACCATCTCATTCACCCTTGCAGACACTCAAAGTTTCGTTTCCATCTTAGAATTTGAGGCTCAGATAAATTCAGTAAGTATTAGACTTTCTAATCCTCAAACTGCTTAGATTCTAGAACCTTTTATTAGGTTGTGCTTCAGGTAGGTTTTGCATTTTAATTTGAGGACTGAAAATGCAAAGGTGTGTGATGATCTCAGCGATTTGGGGTCACGCTCTCTTGTTCTTTGATTTCTGAGATGGGTTGCCATTAGCTCCTGTTTCTTTAGGACTAAACCCTACAACAGGGCGGGGAAGGACCATCTCCAGCTCAGAGTCAGCTGAGTTCACGATCCCAGAAAATGAAGGTTTATTGTGCAAACGCTGACACCACGTCCCTATAGCTGTGCATCCCTGTAGGTCTGTGGCAGGTCTGCTGTGAGCACCCGCGGCACACTGATGGAGGCTTCTAGTCTGTGTTAATAGCAGGTGTTCACTCCAGATTATGAGTTGTTTTTTAAAAAACAAATTCCTTCCCAAAGAAATGTTGTCAACAGTGAGGACGGCGGAAGGCAGGCCCTATTTTTAGAAATAGTGAGAGCTGTCAGACAGATTTTGGAAGGTGGAAGGCATTAACGTAGCCAGGATGCCTTTTTTTGTTCTTTTTTTCTTTTTGGTTGGGAGTTTTATTGGTTCTGATTTTAATTTCATTATATTCAGCAATCTAACATTAATCTTGTATTTTCTGTTTCTCCCCCAAGCTGACATGGATAGCCTTGAAGGTAATGATACACCCAAGTCCTCTCACAAACCATTCCACAAGAGTCACAAGCTTCACACCCATCACCAGCCACCAGAGGGGCCATTAGGATGGCACAGTCCTGCACAGACATAACCACCTTGCAGGCCACCTAGCCAGAGCACTCCTATCCTCTGGGACCTTGTGGTTATTCAGTTAGGATGGGTTTTGGCATTAATCATGACTGGACATTTTCTTGGCAAGTGTCGGTCCATCTGAGCCAACTACCATGAGCCCAGTGGCCACTGAGTAAATGTCTTCTTCCCACAGTGGGCTTCACAGGCCTAGTAGGGTCTGAGGGTGCCATGTGTACAGGCCAAGGTGAGCTGACTGCAGGCTCAGAGGGTGCAGCATTCTTGTCTTAGACGTTTGGACCAGTGGAAGTAAATATAAAGATCAGATGAGACTGATGATTTTTGCAGAAGGGTCCTATTTCTCAATAATTCCTTCYCTCATTCCCGCCTCATATATCCAGGGACGTAGTTAGGCATGTGCAGGGATTTTCTAAGGAACAGTTTTCATTAAAATGGTAAGTTGCCTTCTTGTAAGCAAAAGGCTTTGTGTGCCCTTTTGTCCCCTGACTCATTTTCTATTCCATTACAAATTTGGACAAAGTATTTTTAAACCATGGTTGATCCCTGTACTTTAGTGCCTAGACAGTGTTAACAGTGAGCACACACACCCTGTGCCTTCATCCACCACTGTTGCGGCCCTGCAGCAGGCTGGGTGGAGGGGTGCTGGCCTTGGCTCAAGCAGTTCCCAACTCTGATGACCATCCAGGTGTCATTACTTCACCATCGTTGATCTGATGAGTGTTAATCTTTTACAGGGTAAAATGGCTTAAAGGTGTCAGCGTTTCATGATAAGCCTTGTATTTGGGACCTTGTAACTCCATGAGAAATTCACCATACAGATAGTAGTTAGAAATCAGTCAGATGCTGACTGCTAGGTGGACGTGGCGTATAGTGGGAAGCATAAAAAGGGGTGAAAAAGGTTTCCAGAGCTGGCACTGTGGAACACACCTGTAGTGCCAGTGGCTCAGGAGGCTGATGCAGGAGGATCACCAATTCAAAGCCAGCTTTAGCAACTTACCAAGGCCTTAAGCATCAAAAAGGGCTGGGGATCTGGCTCAGTGGTTAAGCACCCCCTGGGTTCAATCCCCAGCACCAAAAAAAAAAAAAGTTTCCAAATCAGATAATTAATACTAATCTTAAACATGCAAAATTTTATTTTCAGTATGCTCTTAGTCTCATAAATACTCTGCTTATTGCTATTAATCTTTTTCAAGAAGTGCAAAATATTTTAATATTTTAGGGAAAAAGCACATTGCAGAACAATAAATTATTTGCAAGCAACTCTCAAAGTAGTACTTTACATTTGGAAAGGCAGGTGAAAAGAGTCTTCACCTGCCTTTTTCGTGATTAAACACCATGCTGAAAATAGGATAAGAAAGGGAGGAAGGGGCCTCTGTCTTCCCTTCCCCAGAGCTCCGTTGTTACTGTCCTGCTCATTCTTGTTTCCCCTGCAGTATGCACTTTATAAAAAGATGACTCAGGCGGCCATCCTTATCCAGAGCAAATTCCGAAGTTACTACGAACAAAAAAAGTTTCAGCAGAGCCGGCGCGCTGCTGTGCTGATCCAGAAGTATTACCGGAGTTATAAGAAGTGTGGCAAGAGACGGCAGGCTCGCCGGACCGCAGTCATCGTTCAGCAGAAGCTCAGGTGGGCTGGAAAGGCTTCACGAAGCTGTGCAGGAAGGGGAACCCTTCCAAAGAACTGCCCCATGCTAGCACCAGGCTCAGCGTGAAGCAAGGTGTCCAAGGTTTCCTTCTTTTCAGAACCTGGGTGTGGAGACCTTGCAAACAGCCTTCTCTCCACCCCAACCCTAATCAGCCAATTTCAACTTTTATCAAAATTTTCAGGACCAAAGTTTGGGCTCCAAGAGACATCAGCAGTCATTCACTCTGTATAGTAGTCTAAACTGAAGAGTCACTGCACAGAAGACATTGGAAACGTAGATAGGGTTGAGCTGTTAAAATAGCACCTATAGCAGAGCAAATCATGTAAAGACAATAGGGAATAACTCCAAGTTCAGCAAGTCAGCCTCTGAACAGAGTCTCTAATGACAGAATGCCCTTTCCAATGAAATGGCTGTAGGGATATCTTGTTTTCAGTCTTCTGTGCTCTGAAAGCTTACGAGACAAAGGGGGGCTTTTGCCCTCTTCCTTCCTCTTCTGGCCACGCCTAGACTGCACTGTGTGAGCAGCCTGTGTGTATGCTGCTGGATTTACTACATGAACTATTTAGTGAAAAGTCCGTGGTCACCACTCACCAGTTTTAATTTTGTGCATATTAAGCTTTATGGAACCCTTCTTGTGACAATTTAATATTCTGACTTTTTCAGGAGCAGTTTGCTAACCAAAAAGCAGGACCAAGCTGCTCGAAAAATAATGAGGTTTCTACGTCGTTGTCGCCACAGGTACATTAAGTTATCCCGCGTTTTACTCATCAAGAATAATTGAACAGCCCTGACCTTCTTAACCATTCACTTAACTTCTGCACAAAGCCAAACCCCAGAAAACACCAGGGTAAACATCCCAAATTATGATAAAGTAATAGAGCTTGTCAACTTGGCACCCATCGAACTCGGAAAGCCATGTATGTTAAACGGCAGGTTCGTACCAGGGTTTTCTGTTTGATTTGGGTATGAATATAATTTATTCAGACTAGCTTTCAGTTTCTGTATTATTCTTATGTCACTTTGCATCATGGTCTCAACTCTGCATCCTTACAACATCTATCAAAACAGAAATAAAACAAGTTTCTTACGAAGGAAAAAGAAAACCTTCCAGGTTTTCTGGTGTAGAATTTCTACCAAAGAGCTGGTGCCCTCTGCTGGAGGAAGGAAAGCTAATGGGCTCTAGGTTGTCAGTGGCAGCTGGTTTGTGATGAAGAGCAGGAGAAACCACTGGGGTGAAGCTGTGCAGGAAGAGGCAGACATCTGAGGTCCCAGGTGCATTTTTAGTTARCAGGAAGTGCACTGAAAGCCTCTGCTGTCCCTGGGACTGTCCCTCCTTGGGGAGCTCAGCTGGAGAAGCGGCTGTTCCCCAGAGTTGAGCCTTCTTTGTGAAGACTAGGTTCTCAATTAGGCTCCTGGGGGCTGATGAGCAGTGCTGTGTTTGCCCTGCTGAGAATAGTATCCCAGGCTGGGATCTGGGGGCTCAGACATGCAGATGTCCAGTAGCCTTCCTTGTGGTTGGGTGGTTTCTTTGTACATCAGGAGCTGTGTAGCTGGTGGTTGCAGATTTAAAGCAGGCCCCGTGGTGCCTGTTCAATTTGATTTTTAAGAGATTCCACTGTAGTTTTTTCTTACTCTTAAGACCATCTGGTTGCTAATTTGCAAAAGTTTGCCTTAGAGACTTAATAGGGTCTAACTGGTTACTTGTACTTTCACCTAAATCAACAAAAGAATGCACATATGTGGCTGTAGAAAGAAATTGCACAGCAAATAGGTTAATAATAATAAAAACTTTCAGAAGAGCTTTATTGGGGCACATGGGGTTTTGTAGCTCCAGTGTGGTAGAAGCAGCTTGGGTCCTCACCCCATGGGCCTCGGCAGCTCATTTGCTCTCTGCCATGCTGCAGGTAGGGTCTTTTTAACCAGGAGAGCTAACAAATGAGATACCAACATGAACACTCTGAGATAGGAACTTGTGTTAGGAAACACACATCAAACTTCGGGGATGGCGATAACATAACAAAATCAGTTTGCAGGGATTGGGATTGTGGCTCAGTGGTAGAGCGCCTGCCTCATACGTGTGAGGCACTGGGTTCGATCCTCAGCACCACATAAAAATAAATAAATAAAGATATTGGGTCAATCTACAACTAAATAAATTTTTTTAAAAATCAGTTTGCAGGGGCTGGAGTTTTGGCTCAGCCGTATTCACCTAGCATGTGTGAGGCCCTGGGTTCAACCCTCAGCACCACATAAAAATAAATAAATAAAGATATTGGGTCAATCTACAACTAAATAAATTTTTTTAAAAATCAGTTTGCAGGGGCTGGAGTTTTGGCTCAGCCGTATTCACCTAGCATGTGTGAGGCCCTGGGTTCAACCCTCAGCACCACATAAAAATAAACAATTTTTTTTTTAAAAAGGTAAAAAAAAAAATCAGTTTTCAGGCCCTAATGAAGTGGTCTCTTTGTTATCCATTCATGCCTTTTACTTGGCATCAGAGTGCTATCCCAGTTGGAAAGCTGATGATCTGCATTTGGTGAAAATATCAAGGATTCCAGGCCCTTTTCCTTACACTCAAAAGTGTGTTCACAGCCTTCTGCCTGCAAAATGAAAAACCAGGAGCCTCTGCCCAGTACAGAGAGCTGTAAACTGTGACCCCAGTGGGCAGAATCACACAGGCACCTTCTTTCAGGAGGCTGCAGTTCAGGGTTTCCAGGAGATTTTGTTTTTAAGAAATCACCTTAACATTGCTCTTGAGGCCACTCCAGACAAACCAGAATACTTGCAGGTTGAATTGTACACAGCTTTTCCCCTCTTCTTATTGTATTCTCAAACCTTGAATATGAGTATAGGGAATGCAATATGAACAAAATTATGTAAGTTATTTTCTTCTGACCTGTGTTTATAGTGGGTGAGTTGAGAGAGTAAGATGTCCAAGCAGTACATAGATTCATAAAAGATTTCCTCCCAAGATAGGCTGAACAAAGAAGCCTTTCCACTCTTGGCTCTTAGAGTTCTCTTTTTGTGAACTGATGGAGGAGAATTAATTTCCTGAAGATTTTTAACAGTCATAAGAAAGCCAACAAGTTTCATTATGAAGAGTGCATCAGATTATGGGCCTTGAGTGTGTGCGATCGGATGAAGTAGTCACCCTGATTGGCTGTTTTCTTGACTGTTTTCATAGTTCAGATGTTAGAAAAATACAGGCAAATTCTAACATCTTATATAGTCAGTATATGTGCAGTATTTTAATACTGACTGTACAAGATCGGTATTTAATCCCTTTCCTATAAATTCAGTTAATTCATTCAATGAAGGAGCTTGAAGAAGTCCTGAAAATCTATCTCAGAGGTTTATTAAACTCACATTTTTCCTAGGAGTATACAATCCTGTTTCCATTCGCATTTATTTAATACTACTTTTAAGAGATACTGTCATGTTTATTGTCTCTTGGAATCATTAAAGTCTATATTAAATAGAAAACCTCATATGGCGCCCCTTGAAAAGGTAGGTAGATAGTGGTCTTCAGAATCAACGAGGGTCCCATTTCTAAGTAATGTGACCCCAGTGTTTTAAGACTTAAAGGATAAATTGAATTTTCTACCTGCTCATTTCACACACCCCACCATCCTGCTCCTTTTCTTTCTTCCCCCAAAAGAAACCACTTTATACTCATTTTGGTTGAATTAAAGCTATTTTTAAGATTTCTGTTGTGACCCTCTTAATGCTAATAGCTCTTTGGTGTTGTTTTACTGTCTAAAGCCCCCTGGTGGACCATAGGCTGTACAAAAGGGTGAGTTTAGCTGCCTGCTAGCCAGTTTATCTTTATCTTCCATTTTCAATATTGTGCTTTTTGCTTGCTTGCATGGGGCTGCAGCCTAGGTATGCCAGTAAGTTTCACATCCATTATTGAATGAAATGAAATAAAATAAACTAACCCTAATTACTAACACTGCTATTTTATACAGCAGAAGAACAGTCACAGGCAGTAACTGTACAGATGCATGAGTAAATAGGAGGGAGGGACCTTCTGAGGCCACCGCAGGGCATGCTAGGCTGGGTGGAAGGAGCCTCTGCAGACACACGTGGCTGGCTACAAGTGGAAGTCTAAGCAAAGCTGTCTTTTAAGAAAACAGTAAGCAAGTGGGGTTTTGTGTTAAAATAATACTAAATCTTCTCAACTAATGCTTTGTCGACATATATAAAGCAAGAAGGCTCACTCGGCAGTACTAGCCTTTTTTTTTTTTTYYCCCCCCAAGCCAGTCTGTTTCTTGTTCAGAATTACTGCTTCCCTGTGACCCTACTCCTATAGTTCCATTCTGTAATTTCTTTCCCCTTGCTATGCCATGAGGTAAGTCAGTGTGTAAAACTGCCCTTTTAGATCTAGCCTCAGACACTCGTTTAAATAGTGAGCAAACCAGACCCCAGCATGTAAGGGTAAAGCTGAATAAAAAACATGTAGGAAAGGGTCCTAAGTCTTTGTGTTCCATTTTGCAGTTGGGACTGATTATTCCAAAGGAATTCATATTTTTGATAAGTTATCCTGAATAGGTATTCAGTAAACACTATTGGCCTGGGATTTTAGAGTACGTTTCTCATTTATAAGTGTGGCAGCATTCTCTGCCAGATGCAACCATAACACATCTTGGTTATAATAAAAGGTTTAGTGTCAGAAAATTGTTTTCTAAAAGCTAGGAAAGGAATTCACCAGTACTGGACTTGAATTTAGGTAAATTTGATCACTTTTTTTTCTTAYGTAGTCTTAAGATGAGGTGGCTGTCTTTATCACCCAGATTCATTGTGTCCTCTTCCTAGCCTTGCACTAATACTTTGGTCATTTTTAAGATTTCTGAAATCATAATTCAGAAAATCTTAAAACTTGTGTGGTGGCACACACCCATAATCCCAGGCTGAGGCATGAGGATCACATGTTCAAGGCCAGCCTCAGTAACTTATCAAGAGCCTGTCTCAGAGTGGAAAATTAAAAGGGCTGGAGAAGCAATTCAGGGGTAGAGAACACCTGGGTTCAGTTCCTAATGCTGGAGAAAAAAAAATCTTTAAATTTCAGTGTTTCTGCAAGACATTATTTTGCATCTAACTAGTTATATTGCTACTAGTATTGATTCATTATATTTTATACCAGGAGTTGGCAAACTTTTCTTAAAAGGCCAGTGAATAAATATCTTCAACTTTTTGGGCCATGTATATAGTCAGTTTCAACTATACAATTCTTACGTTGTAGCCTGAAGACAACCACAGACAGACAGTGTATAAAAGAATGATCATAACTGTGTTCTTATAAAACTTTATTTACATAAATGGGCACTGGGCTGGGATTGGCCCACAGTCTGCAGTTTGCCAACTTGGAAATAGAATTGAGTTTTTTAAGTTCTTCCTGAATAATGAGCTTATCTGTATAAGACTTAAAGTCTTACCTGCTTTGAAACCATGAACAGTTGCTGAAGGAAAAATTTGTTTTGAAATTAAAAAGCAGCAGCATTTGTTGACTAGTTGATCCTCTTTACTATTAGACAATTGTTTACCATTGGGTGCATTTTCCGTGTGGTAGAGCCGGATCAGAGATTCCTCTGCTTAAAATAGAGAAAAATCTCTGTCTCTCTATTCCCTCTCACCTTCTGCAAACATAGACAATTTTTATTTTCATTAAAAAACAATGACCACTGCCACCGATTCCACCAACATACGGATGCCCTAGGATATGCAGTTTACCTGAAGGTGGTGGTGTATCGCGTATTCATTGTGTTTCACAGAGCCTGCTGCAAGGGGCCAACCTTCCATTAGAGGTGGTTGTTTCTGCGCTCTGTTAGTTTTGCTATGTTCGTGATCCTTTTTGAGAGAACATTTTCTGAAGATGTCTTTCAGTGCCAGACAGAGCCCCTTCTTTAATTTCTTTRGTGTCTGCTGCATTCTGCTGTGAACTGCAACTGGAAAGTTGGAATCTTGTAACATCCCTGCTGCCTGGCACAGTCTTCAGGGCATCTGAAGAGAGGAACAGGGAGGTGTTGGGTTCCTGCTGGTGTAGGGACCTTTACCTAACGGTAATCACAGTATCCGTGGAGCAGCTTGTATGTTTAACATTGTGTAACCACCAGTCAGATGCCCTCCACTTCTCCCTCAGGAATGTTGCGATGGCACTCCCTCTAGTGGTCCCCATGTTAAAAATCTTGGGAGCTGAGCATTCTCGGAGGATTTATGTTCCTGGAATTTATGTCAAAAAAGATGACATACTTATTTTTTTAATTTATAAAGTACACCATACTTAAGACATTTAAGGTTGATAAGTTGAAAAATAATATTCAAAAATATTAAGAAAAAAGAAAACATTAAGAATTAAATTTTGTGGAGCAGTGTTTGTAAAACGCTGTTATTGCTCCACACTCTTGGGATGAAGAGCAGAAGGATCTCTGAGAGTGAAGGCACAGCAGGCTCCGCACAGCAGCAYAGCAGCTGCGCACCCTGTGTCCTGAGAGCTTCCTTTTTGCCTGTGGAAGGCCAAGAGGAGCTCCCCATGTTCTTCCCTGAGTCCAGCTGAGGTTTTTACTTAGCTTTTCCTTCAGGCTTAGCCGCTAATTTATCCAGTAACTGAAAATAAAGTTACCAAATCCCTGAAATAATCAGGGGTGTTTTGTTTTTGTCCCAGACACGTAATTGTATACTTGAGTGAATTTCATTACTCAGGAGAGATACTAAACCAACTGTTTCAATTCTTTTAGTTAACTCAGATGATAAACCAACTTCAGCAAACCACTGAAGAATTTTTAAGGTTTAAGAAACTTAAAATGTGGGGCTGTGGATGTGGCTCAAGCGGTAGCGCGCTCGCCTAGCATGCGTGCGGCCCGGGTTCGATCCTCAGCAGCACCACATACCAACAACAAAGATGTTGTGTCTGCCGAGAACTAAGAAAAAATGAATAAATGTTAAAATTCCCTCTCTCTCTCTGTCCCTGTCCCTCTCACTCTCTCTTTAAAAAAAAAAAAAAAAACTTAAAATGTAAATGCTGAAAATATTACTTTCCAACTGGACTTAGTATACCTGGCAGGATGTTACTCACTGCCACAGCAGAAAAACCGAGATACGTCACAGGCAGAGGAAATGGCAAACATCTTCTTACGTAGCAGACTTCTCAGGGTGTTAAGATTTCATTGCCTAAAGAAAGAGCCTGCTTTTCTGGGTAGAAGATGGTTTTCCATTTCTATTTCTTAGAAAAATTTCTTTCCCTGTATGAGACAGTGTTTCCACAAGGGGGCTTTATAAGCTTTATAGTCTCTGCAGATAATTATCAGCAGTGGAAATAATGCTGTTTAAATAACCTGTTTCTTAAATTGCTAGCCAGTCACTCATGTTCAGTAAAGGTGGGTACAGCTGTCTTCTGGCATAAAAGAGCCTTAATTGGAGGAGGGAGAAATAGCGCATTTTGAGCACCTTTTTTAAACAACAGATTTCSTCTGTATTTGAGAGCCAGGTTTGCAAAAACTTTAACTTTTCCAGAAGCTGACAGTCATTTTGGTAAGTAGTGATTTCAGTACAGTAGCTTCACCCTGTGCTTGAGAGCAGCCCTGTGAAGTGTCTCCAGTGGTCACTACCAAGTTCTGAGAGTTACGTATCCTTCACACCTTTTGCTGTGTCATCTGAAGGGACAGTTCTCCGATAATGCCCGGAAGTGTACTGTTCGAGAAAAGTAGTCAGTGGGCTAAGATCAACAAATGTGGTCCCAAGTTAAGTCCAGCCTGAGGTCTAGTTTCCAAGTGGCACATCATATGTCCCTTGAGAAGTGAGTGTGGGATGATCATCAAGGGTATATTTTAAAACTCCAAAATAATTTTGTCTTACTTGCCTCTTTTAGGAAATGAATATTTTTGGAACACAGTGGTGTGTGTTAAATTGCAGACAACATGCTCTGTGTCATTCTTATTGGGCCTCTCTGTCTTTTTTGTTTTGCAATCCAAATGAAATTTCTGGAAAATGGCAAGATCTCTCTTTTCCTAAATTCCCCACAAGCTATTGCAGCTCTCAGAGCAACAGGTAACTAATCAGAAAGCCACATCGGGCTGCCCTGTATACTTGACGTCCAGCATTGCAAGAATATACCTGCCGAAATCCACTGACTCATGAAGCATTTCTGGCTGAGCATTACTGAGTAGATGTAATGAAGCGGCTTTGCCTTATGCTTTTCCCATGGAGCATTGTTTGCTACAAGGTTCTGAAGCAGGCCTATTCCATTTACCATGAATTACCATTGGACGTCTGATGGAAATAAATCCGTGGGCTTCTGCTGGCTTTCAGTGCTGTTGCTTACCACATCACTTCAGTACATTATAATGCACCTTTTTTTTTTTTTTTCTTTTTTGTTGAGACTGCCAGAGTATCCCAAGGTGGTGATTATTTTCGTCCTAGAATGCTTGGGGTAATCCTGGGATTGTCTTTAATTAATAGTTGAATGGTCACAGGTCAAAGTCTTACTGTCCTGATTACTTAACTCTAAACTAATAACAGGAGTATTTTTTTAGTGACTGATGTGAGGTTCAGGAATGTAGTCCACACAGCTCTTAGGGAAGCAGTAGCCTTGCACCTGTAGAAGCCACAGCTTCTCCCAGCATTAATTGTCTTTATGACCTCAATGAAGACCACTTTGCCTGTCTTCTATGTGATGGGATTTTTTAAGATAACCTGGACATTTTAGGTTCAGCTCTTTCATAGCCTCATGATTGTAATACCAAAAACTCAGTAACCCTTAGCAAGTTTGTGTAATATAACTCAATAAAAGTTTTGAGTACCTGTGTTCTAAGTTATATCAATGCAAACAATACAGCCACTGGATTTTCAATATCATTCCAATTTCAAATATATACCAAGTTTGTATACTGAAAAAAATATGTTTATAACACAGGTAATATCAGTGAAACAAATTTAGTTGATTAATTTTGGCTTTGGTCTATGAAAATGAATTTTTTCCTCCACTGATTTTTCAGCTTGTGTCCTATGTACACAACTTTAATAAGACATAATAGTTACAGATGGATAGCAAAATATAAATCTTTTCAAACATTCTTTAAGGTAGGAATAATAATTATTATTATTAGAAAAGAAGCACATATTCATTGTAGCTAATTTTGCAACTACAAATAAGAAAGGAGAATAACCCAGAGATGATAATAGTTAAACTTTTATTATGTATCCTTGCTGGTAAAGATTTATTTTTTGTTAACACATGCCTTTTAGTGATTAATCATGTCTCTGACTGATGATAAGGCAAAACCAGTTTAACTGATTGGAACACTCTAAATGAAGTATCTATTTCTTAGATTTCTAACAGGTGTTATTCCAGGTCCCTTCAGGGATATCATCATTTTCTGTTTCTTTGGAGGTAATGTAACTTTCAGTTACATCTACCCAGTTGAAATTTGATTTAAAACAAAAATTAGGCACCCCATTTTATCTTAATAATCTGCCCTCAAGGAACCTAAAACCCCACGTATGAGTTCAGTAGGACAGAGGGTGAGTGTCTCAATTTCATGTGAACTTTCAGAGGTAAGTTAACATCAACACAGGGGGCTAGGGGATGTGGCTCAAGCGGTAGCACGCTTGCCTGGCACGCAGTGCCGCCCGGGTTCGGTCCTCAGCACCACATACAAACAAAGATGTTGTGTCTGCCGAAAACTAAGAAATAAATATTAGAAATTCAAAAAAAGACCCAAAACATCAACACAGTCTGAATCACAGATGAGAGATCAAAGCTAAAAAGCTGATTTGATTCTAGGTACATTGTTTATACATGTTTTAGGACTCTAAATTTAATTGTGTTATAAATCAAGTACATCTTATGTGGGGGTCTTTGTGCCCCCACAACATTGTAATTAAATCAACATACGGTCTCCTAAAGAGCAACATCTCAGAATTAAGAAAATATTGTTGTCAGCTTCATTTCATATTTTAGAAACTTTCCAAATGCATGTTTTCTGTAAGTCTTTTGGAAAAACCAATAAAGCAAGAATTTATAAAAATTCTAGTTAGCCTGAGAAATTACTAGAAGCAGGAGAGTGGAATGGCAGAACTGTAGGCTCTGAAGTCAGACCATAGTGGGCTCACATCCCTGCTCTGCCACTTATTTTCTGTATGATTTGGGACAGGTTATTTAATACTTATCAATCCGAAGTTCTAATTTACAAATTGGATAGAATGGCAGAATTGTGAGTGCTGCATTAGATGACAATATTCAGTCCTGTGTAGCTACTGGAACATAAGCTCTTCTTTTACTCCTCATTCTTCCTTTACTAGTGAAGTCATTTTGAAGTGTTTTATAATGCTACTTTACTGTGGTAACTTCATGATGAAACCAGGAACTAGATTCTCCTCTAGAGCTCTAGGAGAGTTACGGAAGCCCAGAAAACAAATCTGAAAATTGGAACGTCCTCATGTTTCCTCTGCAGACATTCCTATGTGTGGATGTACACCTATCCTGAATTTAGTCTGTGAGGACATCACTAATTTTAGCAGAGTATTTACCTGATAACTTAAAAACCTTATGAAAACTTGGTTGACTTTTTAATTAGTTCTGAAAGAAACTGGGAAAATGAAAAAACAAATGTGACCATTTTAACTAGAAGAAAAATGTTTTAAGTGATACCTTCCCTGACCAGCTGATTACAGATTCTTTGGTATGAGACTACATAAAGCATTTCTGGTTTATAATTCACTCTCCTTCTCTATTTCATCTCGATGATGAATTTAATGTTTGTAAAGCATTCCTGTTCATGTTAGAAAAACTGTGAATGGATATCTATGTTTATGCTATCAGATTTTCAACTTGAAATTCTTTATACATTTATACATTCTAGAAATCTTATCAGTGATGGAGTCACTGTTGCATATTTGTGAATGAGTTCTGTGCTAGTGCAGAAATAAGATGTAATATCTGAAGTAGCATGCACAGTCTGCAGGAATTCAGGAAACAGGTCTGCACAGTACAGATGTTGCATGTCCGGAAGTAAAGTTGGCATCCGTGCATGCCTTGCATTTCTCCAGCAAAGAGATGTTAGTATAGATATTGCATGTTTAAAAATTGAACACAGACTGTAGCATGTTTCAATTTTTAAAAAGCCATTTATTAAGTATGCATGTCCAAAATTAGGGACCTGTAATGATGCACAATTCTATACTGTAATATGACTCACATTACCCTAAAATTTAATAAAAATGGTATCCTTAATTATAAAATTTAAAACTAATATCCAGATCTAGTTAGGAACATAGCAGTTGTGTTCTAAATGTAGCTATTAAGAAAGAGTCAACCATTTGGGAGGTAGAGCGTCGGTCATTGTCCTCTATAAAAATCACACCTAGACTAAGCTGGGCTTAGAATATGTCACCACTAGGACAAATAAGCAAGTTTTCAAACAATGATTTTTATTATTGATGGTAAAATGAGTTATCTTTTCTTCTGAAAGAGAGCATCTTCTCTCTGAAGAGATTTTATCAACTTTTGCAGAATCCTCAGAAATGATGATGCTTGCAGGTTGTGAATTCTGTTTCCTCTGTTGCTCCTGACTGAGGAGAGCCTTCGACTCCCAGTGTGTGTTAATTCTGCAGAAAGCCTACCACTTTTTTCCAGAATGCTTTTTCTTCCTGCCCGAGTGCTATCAAGAGTCTGTTTAGAAAGTAAACAAGCACAAGGGGCTGGGGCTGGGGTTCAGTGGTAGAGCGCCTGCCTCGCTCGTGTGAGGCACTGGGTTCAATCCTCAGCACCACATAAAAAATAAACAAGCATGAATGTTAAAATTTTAATTTAATGGTATAACAAGATAATAGGAGAGACCTTACCATGAGGGAATGAGGAAATAGTATTTGAAATTATCAACCTCGCTGTAGGCCTGTAACAAATCGTGTGTTTCCCTGACCTGCTGCTGAGGTAGAGTAGAGACGTCTGCTCCTGTTTGGCTAAAGCTGTCCTCTCACACCCACTTTTGAGAAACAAACCTCACAACATGGTCTGTAGTTCCTCACTGAGACGTGCACAGCATGCACTGGCTTGCATCTGATCATTCTGCTGTTAAGGCAAGCTCATTATCATTGGTCAGCACAGAGAGATTTTCTTAGTTTACAAGTGCTTCCCTGACACCCTCCCACATCAGCCACCACATTAAGGGGGGTGGGGGAAGCAAATTTTTACCTTAAAAATATAGATTGGAAGTGATAATTAATACTCAGCTGCTAGGAACTTTCCATAACTCAGCCTCTACTAGTTCCATTTAAATTTGTTTGCTACAATAAATCTAAGTAGAACAAAGTACCTTTTCCATATTGCCCTAACTGCCRTCCATCTGTGAGCTCTGAGAGGGAACCCAAACATCCCTCACAATTACAGGGTGCAAAGGGAGGAGAATAGAAAAATCAGATTCCACAGTTCATGAAGGAAAGAGAAGTCGTGCAGATTGTGTGGTCGCTAGCAATTGAGCCTGTGAGCAAAGTAATAGTTGGATCCCCAGGTCTATCCAAAGCTTAAAAAAAATGTGTTCGGTTCCCCTTCTCTACGCCCTGCAAAATTGGGCATTCACGGTGGTCCAGCAGGCAGAGGAGGAAGTTACTTGAATGAAATTTTCCAAGATGAACATATTTTTATATTTCATAGCAACAGACTGATTTCACACTGCTCTTGGAGGACCTGGTACAGGACAAAGTTCTTAAAATTTTTTTTAAAAACCACCTAAAGTAGGGTACAGGCGTCCTCCTGGGATGATATTCCCAGCAGTGTCATAGGAGTTTCCTTTGCCATATGTCCTCAAAAGGGGTTTTGTTTTGGCTTTTCATCTCAGAGGGAAGAGTAACACCCTGGCCCCTTTCGGGTCGCACTTTCACTGTATAGTCATCGCCTGGTGTTCTGTTTGTTTCTCTTCCAGAGTGAAAGAATTGAAAAAGGCCAAGGAACTTGAAGACATACAGCAGCATCCCTTAGCAATGTGACGTTGCTTTTCAGACTGTTTTCATTTCTGTTTTTAGCAGAGACATGCAACAACAACACACGCGCACACGCACACACACGCACACACAATCCCTCTGCAGTTCTGGGGAGATCAGCTGCAGGATTTTAACAGGAATGTTTTGGTCATTGCATTTGCACTTTCATGGACAACTTTTAATTTGATCAGCAAGACATCTTGGAACTCAATCTTCTGTTGGATCATAGGAAAACAAGACACCAGGAGGAACTGAAAGAGGCTTCCTCTTAGGAGGAAGCCGTTTTCCTTCTCATATAGGGCTGTATTCAAACATCGTGTGGAACTGTACAAATATTTATACCAAAAATATAGATAAGAAAAGGTGGGGATACACTAGCAACAAAAAAGAATGCTGAACCTGCCCCTGTCGGTTATTTCCAAGAAGCTGAATCTTTGGGATTGATTCTCAGTGGAGGGCTTAGATCATACAAATCTTTATTGGATCCGTGTGTTCTCATTTCCTTCACTGTTTTATTTTTGTTTTGTTGTTTGTTTGTTTTATTCTCTACAGCACACTTAATGCAACTTTTAAAATCTGCAGGTTTTAATGTCTTGTGGAAATTTGCAGAGGGGCGGGTGTGTGGTAAACGGGTAATGCATGGGAAATAAAGAGAAACACCTTACAGAATTTAAATTTATGTTCTTGTCCCCACCACCTCCCAAGAACCTGCGAGGATAGCATCATCTTGTCCCTTTTCTCACGTTCAGCACTTTAATTTTTTTGCCTTACTTTCATGTGCAATGAGAATTATTTAAGAATTGGTAAAGCATGTAGCCTTTTTTAGTGACCTTGGAAACTAGTCATTCCAAGGAATCATAAACCTAGCCTGGACATTTACCACCTAAACGACCAGTGTGGTGCTGCGTTCTGGCCAGTAAATCCCATGTTTTTGGCTCTATCTCATCCAAACTAAGTGGTTTCTGTGTATATATAGAAGGTAGAAATGAAAAGTGAGAAAATATTTGAAAGGGATTATATTAATTGCTAAATATTTTATTCACAAAGGTCAATAACGTGGCAAGATAAAATTATTTGTATAGTTTTGTCTGAACGAGCAAGAAAAAAATGTGGATGTATTGTTTGTATATATTGTATATATTAAAACAGAGATATGTGCATGAAATCAAGAAAAAAGAAATGAACAAAAGCAAAGCATTAGTGGCTATGGTCTGTAAAATGAAACAAAAAAAACTTTATTTCACTATAAGAGTACTTTATTTTAAATGTTCTTTAGAAGAACATTTTGCTAAAGCATGACTAAACTGCAAAAAAAAAAAAAAAGAGCTACTGTATCTAGACTTAGGAAAAAAGGCAGAGTAACATTACTTAAAAAAAAAAAAGGATATGTTTACATTTAATTTTGGCTACCAGGAGTTTATTTTATTTTATTTAAGATTTTTTTGCCAATGGTGCCAAGTAATGTGAATGCTAATATTGCTGAAGAAAATTAAGTTACTTTTGCAAAACAGATAATCATAAGATGAATCCGTATATAGCTTAACACCATCCACTCACTCCAACAAAGAACACGTAGAATGATCAAACCTGACAAAAGGAATAGTATGAAAAGTAGAAAAATGTCACGTTTTCATATCTCCTGGAAATCAGAAAATACAAATACAAATTGCACAAAAAAATACCTAAAAGTGAAAAAGATGCAGACCAGCCTYGTAGGGATGCCACGCTATGTCACTCTCTCCACACAGTGAGGAGCCAAAGAAATCTGATGCTTTTAAACATTCAACTACTCAAGTCAGATCGAGAGAATGAAGTCTGCATTTGCTGATGCCAGTTGAAAACCCCCAGGTGGAGTCTGAGGATCAGTTGGTGTAAAGCTGAGGTGTTTTTACTTGGTTCTGGCTGCCAACTTCGAGTTAAAACTCAAGGCTTGTTGTGAAGCCTAAAAATATTCACAAATAAGCTTTTAAACTGGTGTCTTTGGAAGGAAGATAGATACAAAGAGATTGTGGTAAAAACTGGGGTCAGTGCTCTTGGTGCCTTTTCTATAATTGTACTTGTTTTTTAATTACTTCCTTTCACTGCCAACCTCGAATTACTGTACAGTATATGTCTTTCTGCTTGTGATCAGCTTTGACAACAGTGACAGCCCCACAGCTAGGAGCCACCTGTACATTTGTAAACTGACCTGACTCAATTTTGTTTCTAAATGTGTGGGTTATGTTGCAGTCCCCCCGAACACCCACTGTTTGACACAATTTGACTTGTAGGAGGACGCGGAGTAATTTAGGAACACACACAATTGCATTCGAAACTGGGAACAGAATGTGAAAGCCAGCTCTTTCAGAATATCCTATATTAATACTGCATTTGGATACATTTATTCCATTTATTATGGTACAAACAACGGATCTTTTGACCAGAGTAATGACCTCAGTGGATTTGCTTTGACCCTCACATTTATTTTTTTAACTGTTTCACATCTACATTATTAGCTGAATAAGTTAGAAAATTCCAGAAAATAGAGACTTACATAGATTTAGGCGGTTCTCATGGAGGGAATAGGAAGTAGGTTCAAAAGCCTACTATTCCAACTGTGAATCCTAGGTGAGGTAAAAAAAAAAAAAAATACACTTCCACTGAAACAAAGCATTTCTGACCGCTTTTTCTTGGTTGTAAATCTTAATTTTGAATATAAGATGATAGGTAAGCGCAGCTTTCTTGGATAATCTGAATTCCCAAGTGCCAGGAGTAGGGTTTCATTATAAAATTAATAGCTAATCTTATTCTGTCTCCTGAAGATTTAATTGCTATTCTTGTTACCCATTCGAAATCAGCTGTACTGTGTGAACGAAATAAAGACAATAACACGAACCCCTCTCTGGCTGCACGGTCGCTTATGGCAGTTCCACACAGTAGTTGGCGCCCAATGGGGGGTCCCTGAGATTTGCATGTAAAACTAGTCTAGATGTCTTCTTTTTTGTAAGTTTTATTTTTGTAATTGTGCATGTAAAGCATCATTGAATCAATGGATCTGTTGAAGAACTCAGCTGCTGGAAACCATGCAAAATGTTTTGAATTGCCCTTAAAATATGGAAAATGTTTTCTGAATGCTTTATATTCTTTCTGCTGTAAATTAAAAATGAAGAAAATTTCCCCATACTATCTGCGTGTCTTGCTTTAACTGGACCCGATACTGAAATCCAACGTGTTTAGCACAACGCGTTTTCAAGTATTTCCTTCCCATCCAGATACAGTGTCTTGATATTGAATGTTGCAGTTTCAGAGGCAAAGAAAACATTTCCTGGAGCCCTTGCTTTCCCTGCCTCCCAGGGCCCCCTCAACAGTCAGTCATTTGTCTAAGGCTGCAGGTGATTGTGAGGGAAAGATGCCAATGAAACCATCCCAGCTGGATCCTCTGAATTTTGTAAGGCTTTACTACTGCCAGCCCCCCCCCCTTAGTATTCTTCCAGGCTGCCCCCTTCCCTGCAGAGCCTCTGTTTCCATCCTCATCCCTCCCATTTAATCCACCTCAAAACTACTGCTGGACAGAGTTTGCATCAGAAATCTCCCAGCTGTGAGTCCTTGGTGGTTTCTTGAACCAACTGTGCTTTGCTTAGATTCGTGGTGCTTGTTTTTCCCACCTCTTACTTCAATCTTATTTTCTCCTATGCCCAGCCTGTACCCTCTGGATGGTCTGCACATTCCCTGTCCACTTCTGCTGACCTGTTCATGGTGTGTGTTCATCCCTTGGCTGGAAAGTTCTGTCTTGGGCTATTTACTCAACTCCAATTCTACTTCTGTGTAATATACAGTGACATTTCCCTTTTCAAATTACTGTGCCGGAAAAGACAGCAGTTTTATTTTTCACTTACTGAGAGATCCTCCAACAGACCTATGGGTTGATGTTATTTGTTTCATGCAGGAGATTGTCTCTGTTGGTAGAAATATTTCAGTAACAAATACATAACAAAGTCAGTCACTGCACTCGACCTAAAGTTGACCTACCCTGTGCCAGGGCCAGGGAATAAAGAAGTGAAAGAAACTGCATTCCTGGTGCCAAGGCTCCCTGCTGCCATCTGTAATGTGGTCTGTGCAACAACGACAGGTATTTGTACCTCTAGTGAAAACATGACAGTGCTACTGCTGGAGGGTCCAGGTGGGGTCCAGGTACGTGGAATCTCAAAGAATTGAACAAACAGAAAGTTTGAGATGCAGCCAGAGCGTAGATTTATTGAAAGTTCACTCCCCAAAGCAGAGCAGCCCAGGGGAGAGCATGGCTCAAGGCCCTGAGTCTGAGCCTCATTGCCTCCCTGCAGTCCTGATGGGAGACACTGCCTCATTTGTTCCTAGGGGTGACTTTATTTTCACCTAATTAGAATACAGAACTTGCCAAGGTACTAGGGTAACTCTTGAAGAGGAACACAGGGGCCATTTGGTGGTCCCACTGCTCAACTCCTCTCCCAGTCCATGCTCCAACTGGCATATTTCTGGTACCCCGCCTCCACCACCCTGATGTCCCTAAACTCCTACTCCCTGCCACAAGAGACATGATCCCAAAAATCTTTTTGGGTGGCTGAGGGGCTGGAAGTCCCATCTTCTGTAGCTGCTTCAGGCCCACTGGGGGTTGTCATCCCAGCCGATTGGGAGTCACCGAACTCGTGTTATTTGGTCCAAATGAGACAGCAGGGCACCCAGGTTCATTTGTGGGATTTGTGGGATTGGTCTGAAGCCCTGCTTAACACCAGCAGGAGTCTGAGACCCTGATGAGGAGACAGAAACTTGTTAGTAGGTTTAATAGGCAGGTCCAAGAAACAAAGCCAGGAGGAATATCAAAAGGGGTCCCGCCAAAGGGTAGTAATCAAGACATCCAGTTCTAAATTTTTGACCATGATCCCCTTGACTCTTGACAATTGCTGCCGCATCCTAAAGGCACAGTCTGCTTCTTTCTTTGCTGCATCCCTCTATCCCGGAGGGGTTTACATAAAAAAGCATTCTTCCTCAGGGAAGAGACAGTCTCCCCTTTTCAGCAGTTAATAGATCAAGTCTTCTCCGGTTTGGGAGACTGGTTGCTGCTGTTGAATCTCTGGTTCTGGAGGGTAATTGTGCTTCTTGCTATTTCCTCTATCAGAGAGATCTTTAGACAAACCCCGAAAATAGGAGAGGGAGGTCGATAGTCCTCCTCTCCCTGTGCCCACTCCAGCAGTTACCCCCAATCCCCCAGCACAGGAATGGTTGTCCAACCGGTTTAGCTCTAATGGATACTGTTAAATGTGTGATTGGAGATTGATCATTAGGGGCTATATCTATGTTTAGAGCTAGATGTGTGCATGTCCCCATCTGCTTGGTCAGTAGGCACTAGGAAGAATTTGTTCCACATARGAAGAAGATTCCTGGTGTTTCTATAAAGAAACTAGTTTTGATTGTGAACACGTGGGGTTTCTATTTCCAAATCCCCATGTGGTTAGGGTTTCAGCTAGTGTAGCCCCAGTCAGAGGACAGAAGGGACWATAGGACTGGTGGGGGGCTGCTCCCAAAGCCTGTTTTTGGTTTGATTGGTTGATTAGTTTTTTGTTTTTTTTTTTTCCCAACATATCAATGAGAATTCATTCAGTTCAGGGCTAGGGCTGGGGCTGGGGCTCAGCGGTAGTGCACTTCCCTGGCATGTGTGAGGCACTGGGTTCAATTCTTAGCACCACATATAAATAAATAAATAAAATAAAGATCTAGCAACCATTACAAAAATATTTTTTAAAAAAAGAATACATTCAGTTGAGCTTTTGTAACTGGGGATTAGTAAGCATTCTGAAAGGGTTGGATTGGAGCAAGTCTTCAGGGGAAGATGCTTGTGCAAGCAGAGGTCTGTTTTGACAGTAGCCTGCATTTTTATTTAACAATTGGTCCTTTTTCAAGGATGGTTTCCACAAGAACCTTACTGGTTGTTTAAAGGGGGTGTATTGAACTACTGTGTAATTGGCGTGGTTGTTTGAGGGAGAAGCTACCAGGTTATGATTATGAAAGTGGTCTTTTGACTCACCCAAGTCATGCCCAGGACTCTGTTTCTTCTGGATACAGAGGGGGCACCTGGAACTTGAGTCTCATTGGGGTTGTAATAGGCTCAGGTGGGTTGCATAGCAGGGGAGATGAGGTCTTAGGTTATTTTAATAGATGGAGGAACTGAACTACCTTCCAGCTATTGTTTTTTAGTGATGTCTATCATTTTTATGTTGTATAAATCACCTAAGGTCATTAGCTGGAATGAATGGCCACCTGGATACTTAGTGTAGAGAGTCATGAGGCTGCTAGCCCATGGTCAGGCATGGATGGCCAGGGCTCTAGTACCTGTAGAGCTGGGGTACAGGTCTACCCAGCAGCCCTTGGCCAACCCAGGGTTAGATTGATTTAAAATATGCTGGGGAAGGTTTAAAGTTTTAAACAGGTCTGTGGACCCAAAGATTCTCCTAGAGGCCAACGTGAGCCAATTACTGGCCATGGGTGAGGGTCAGTTCCAGGATACAGATTCCTGCACCTTGATTAGAAAGTTTTGTGGTCAGAGTTCTGGAAACAATTAACAAATTTGGTTAGAGACAAACAAAACACTTATTACATTAGTGATTAATGTACTGACCTAGCCCTTGGGTAGTGGTCTCCTGAAGATAGCTTGAGGTCCTCAATTGGCTCACTGGACCAGGTCTTCAAAGTCTTTTTTCAAACCTTGTTCTGATTCTGGAAGAGTCAGAGCAGTCTTTACTGTTGAGAGATATATCCAACTGCTTACTTTTACCAGTTTAACAGCTGTGGAGGTGCTCAGGATTACTTAGGTTTTAACTGGTCTTCCAGAAAGCCTTCCTCCCAGTTTCAACTACAACTTGTTCCCCTTGATATACTCGAGCATGTCTACCAGGAGCTGGAAGTAAGCCAGCCACCTATGGTCTGAATGGCCATTGAAATTCCCCTAGGTTTGCAAGATATTTGGTGAGCTGAGTGATCTCAGGATCTACCCCAAGGTCTTCAGATAGGAAAAGATGTCCATGTAGTATTGTATAGGGGCTTACGTTTGGTTTTGTTCCAGGTGCATTCTGGATTCTCATGGGAGCAATAGGTAGCCTAGTTACCCAGGTTTTGGAAGTTTCCTGGCAAGACTTGTAGGAGGTGAGAGAAACAGGAAGAGTATGAAATCACAGGATGGGCTTCATGCCCACCAGAGAGGGAGGTCTCTCACAGAATGTACCCACTGTGCCCTTGTATGGCCACAGGATTGGGGTGGATGGATGTTTGTTCCTATGTGCCTAGGATGGTGAGCTTTGTCTTGAGTTCAGCACAGGCTAATTCTGACTGCAGCTCACAACCAGATTATCCTGTCACAGGAGCCTTCGAGCAGCAGATGCCCGAATGGTTCTTAAGTGTGGCCACATATCCAAGRCACATCAACAACCCAGGAACTTAGGAGAAAATGGTAGGAGGCATAAATGTATTAAAAGAAAACAGATACCCAGGACAAACTCAGGGGATCCCAGGGAGCCAGGGTAGGGCCCCAGCAGAGAGGCTGAGACACACTGGGTCTGGTGAAGTCACAGTGTCCCCACCCCCAGGGGCCTTCTGATCCCTAGCTGGCAGGTTAGTCTGAGTGTGGACCCATGGGACAGCCTCAGAAATAAGTCCAGAGAGAACTGGGGCCAAGTGGTGCTTTAGGACCCCCTCCCGTACCTCGTGGCCAGCTGCCAAAGGTGAGGTCGGACCTGGTAGAGATACAAGGTGACCTGGTAGAGATACAAAGCCTGTGGTCCATTTGCAGAACACAGAATTCAACTTTGCATGTGAAATGACTTGGGGTGTAAGAAAGGCAGCTGGGGGGAGAGCAGGCAGTTAATGTCAGCAAAGATAACCAGGCAAGCTTGTTGGGGGGYGGGGGGCGTCACTTTCTGGATAGAAAATGGCCGCTGGTTACAGAGGGGCTCTGAGGTTTGTATGTCACAATGAGAGTGAATTAATCATTGGACACTAAAGCGGGACTCGTTGATTTGGGCAATCAGGGAAAAAAAGTTGTAAAAAGTCAGAAACTTATTGTTACTGGGAAGTGATGAAAGCTCAGGGGTTCCCTGTGTGTCTTGTCCTCTGGGACCCACTGTCACCCAGAGCTCCACAATCAACCATGGGAAA